AAACCTAGCTACTCAGGAGGTGGAGATGGGAAGATCCTGGTACAAAGCCAGCCTGCACAGACAAAGCCAAGAGAATCTTACCTCCAGTGAACAATCAAAAAGCCAGAAGTGGAGATTTAGCTCAAGTAGTAGAGTGATAGATAGTCTTGAGCAGAAAAAGCAAGTGAGAGTAAGAGGCCCTGAGTTCAGGTAACACACACACACACACACACACACACACACACACACGCACACACACACACACACACACACACACACACACACACACACAGAATTGAGCATACCCTACATGACTAGCCTGGGCAAAAGCTTCATGCTTATCAGTTAGAGCTTTCTGCCTTGCCCCAGGCTGCTGGTTGTCCTATAGGCAAGACCTCTCTCTCTCTCTCTCGCTCTCTCTCCTCTCTCTCTCTTGCTCACTCTCTTTCTCTTTCTACCCCCCCCCCCCCAGTCCTGGGACTTGAACTCAGGGCCTGGGCACTGTTTCTGAGCTACTTTTGCTCAAGACTACACTCTTATCACTTGAGCCACAGCGCCAATTTTGGCTTTTTCTGTTTATGTGGAACTGAGAAATCGAACCCATGGCTTCATGCATGCCAGGCAAGCATTCTACCGTAAGCCACATTCCCAGTCCCTGTAGGCACAATTATTAAGATAGCCAGTCACAGAATTTCCTCCAGCCCCTTCAGCACCATTACCTAACACAGCCCAACCCTTCTACTAGGCTTCTACTAGGTCCTTCCCTCCCTCCCCGCCTCCCCCCCCCCACCCCTCTTCCTTATAGGGAGCCTTGTTGTGCATGCTGTCCTTCGGTAAACCCAACTTCTTCACCATGGGTATATTTCTGTCCATCCTTGACTGGAGACATTGGAAGTACCTACTTAACTGGACCGTGGTAAGGAACAGATTTATCCTGTCCTAGATTGATACACTCCTTGGACTCTAAATATACAGAGAGTTCCTGACTTCCAGGGGTTCAACTTGCAGTTTCTCTTCCAGGGGTGCAATAGTAATGACATTCCATCACATGCCTTCTTTTCCTAGACTAAAGGGTTGCAATCCTTTTTCTTTTCTTTTTGTCAGTCATGGGGCCTGAACTCTGGGCCTGGGCGCTGTCTCTCAGCTCTTCAGCTCAAGGCTAGCACTCTACCACTTGAGCCACAGCGCCACTTCCTACTTTTTCTGCTTATGTGGTGCTGAGGAATCGAACCCAGGGCCTCATGCATGTAAGGCAAGCGCTCTACCACTAAGCCACCTTCCCAGCCCACAATCCTTGTTCTTGATGCTAGAAGTGGCCTGGGCCACAGTCGCCAGTCAGCACCCGGAAAGACACCCATGCTACCGCACACCAGGCTGGGAGTAACACTGCATGGCCCTGCATTGTCACTTCCAGTATTTTCAGCTTAAGATATGTTTGTCTAGACACAGACCCACCCCAAGTTGAGGAGCACCTGTTCTGGTATACTTAAATGTCACCCCTGTTTTACAAGACAGGAGAAGGGCTTGGAGAAGGACTTTGGCCCAAAGTTACACAGCGACAGCTGATGTGAAATGCAGGCCATCTTCCAGACTCCTCCCCTCCCCCACCGCCTCCATGTTAAAAGGGTACAAACCAACAAGACACTGAGTCAGTCAGTGTCTGCGGAGGGGAGGGGTCTAGGGGCCTGGAGCCCAAGAAGAGCTTGTGATAGAAACTGGTAGCTGTAATCCAACTTACTCAGGAACTCAGGAGGCTGAAATCTGAGGATCACAGTTCAAAGGCAGGCCAAGTAAGAAAGTTCCAGAGAACTTTTTTTTTTTTTTTTTTGTAGGTTGTGGGGCTTAAACTCTGGGCCTGGGCGATGTTCCTGAGCTCTTCAGCTCAAGAGGAGCGCTCTACCACTTGAGCCACAGCGCCACTTCTGGTTTTCTGGTAGTTAGTTTGAGATAAGAGTCTCAGGGACATTCCTGCCCACACTGGTTTTGAATTGCCATCCTCAGATCTCAGCCTCCTGTGTAGCTAGGAGTACAGGCGTGAGCCACTGGTGCCCAGCACCAAAGTCTTTTATCTCCAATTAACCCCAGAACACTGGAAGTGGAACTGTGGCTCAAAGTGGTAGAGCATTAGCCTTAAGGGGGAAAGCTCAGGAACAGCGCTCAGGCCCTGAGTTCAAGACTTAATACAAGTGTAAGTGCGTGTGCGTGTGTGCACGCAAGCACCAACAACCCCCCCTCCCCCCCCCAGACACACAGGCAGCACCTGGGAGGAAATATACCTAGATGTTCTTTGGATGTCCTTTGGATCTCTCTCTCTCTCTCTCTCTCTCTCTCCCTCCCTCCCTCCCTCCCTCCCTCCCCCCCTCCCTCCCTCTCCCTCTCCCTCTCCATTTTTTTCTTTGTCGATCATAGGGCTTGAACTCAGAGCCTGGACACTGCCCCTGAGCTCTTTTGTTCAAGGCTAGCCTCTATCTACACTTTGAGCCACAGCACCACTTCCGGTTTCCTGGTGGTTCATTGGAGATAAGCGTCTCATGGGCTCTCCTGCCCAGGCTGGCTTTGAATCATGATCTTCAGATCTCAGCCTTCTGAGTTGCTAGGATTACAGGTGTGAGCTTGTTCTTAGTGACCCTTGCTTCCTTCTCCTCCTTCTCTTCCTCCTCCTCCTTCTTCCTCTTCTTCCTCCTCCCATGATTTCCCTGACTGGATCTCCAGGCATTTCCTTCCCAGGCTACCCAGATGCTGAGTAAACACAGACCCAGCAAGGCCCAAGGTGGAGGCAGCATCTGTGGCCTGAGTCACTTCGTGACCTTTACGGAAGAGGTAGGCAGAGTGGCCAGCTGTGTGGCAGGATGGCACCCACAAGGGCAGGAAGGGCTTCTCTGCTGTCCCATGCCTTCCTGGGCTCATCTCTGCCACCCAGCGGCTGGCAGTGGGAGGAGTGGGCCCAGAGTCGAGGCCCTTTCCCTTCTGGAACCTCAACCCAAGCAGAAACTGGAGCCCTTCTCTTCCCACAGCGTCCCAGGGCCTGAGTGGGAGACGGCAAAGCAGGGAGGAATGTGTCAGATGCCCAGGGCAGGCTTTACTACAGCAGGGAGACAGAGAAGTGGTTTGGCCAGGAGACGCATCCCGCTGATGTGGGTAAGGCAGATTAGCAAGGTGTCAGGCTGTTTCCTTCAAGGGGCAGACCTCTCAGCTGAGCCTGAGCAGCCTCCTAGCAAAGGGCACCGGCTCTAGGACCAGGCTGTAGTAGCTTCTTCATTCAGCCCTGCCCTCCAGCTGTGTGACCTAGCGCCCATGACTTACCCTCTCTGAACCTCAGGTTCCTCATCGGTCAGGTGGGGATCATTGTTGGACTGACTCACAGGCCTCTCACCATGATTAAGTGAGTTAGCCATGTAAAACACTTAGACTAATGACCGGCACATGACAGGCCCAAGCGTTGATTAAATAAATAGCTTTTGCATGTCTAATGGACTGGCTATTCCTTTCATGCATTGATATTGCACAGGGTTCCAGAGATGAACTGGATTCCTCCCCTCTGTGCCTGTTGGGGGTTTCAGTGGGGTCCGTGGGCTCCCCAATCTCTGGATTAACCAATGTTTTAGGCTATGTGGAAGGGGCTGCGGACCCTCAGATTGCTGTAGGCCACTGACAAATGCCTTTCCCTGTGAACACACCTTCCTTCCCTCTGACGCAGAAAACACCTTCCTGCCGGCCAGCGATGGTTGCGACAAGTCCATTGGGCATCTGAGGCACAGGTGGCCGTTTCTGCTCCTCCCCCTGGTGTCTGTGCCTTGCAAGCTGGAAATTAGAGCCAAGTATTTTGCTACACATCTGCCATCCCAGCTCCCAAGAGGCTGAGGCAGGAGGATGAGAGTCGGAGGCCAGCCTGGACTCCGTCATGAGGCCAGATCAGCCAAAGCTACCTAGTCTCAACAAACCAACCTGGACATTTGAACCTTGGAGACATGTGGTAGCACAACATTGATGTTATTAATTGTTTGGACAGAAACATGATATTGCGGTTTTGTTAAATCCTTGTCTTTATGAGATTCCAAAGGATTCTGGGTGAAATGTGGTGGTTTGGTTTTTGCCTCAGAATTACAGGGGAGGAGGAGTGAAAGATTATTAGACTTGACCAGAGAACCACACAGACATCCAGGTACAGAGAACAAAGGAAGGTTTATTGCCAGGATAGGAGGCCGGCAAGACCCTTTCTCACAAGCAGCACCGGCTACTGTCTGCCGTGACCTATATAACTGGGAGGTTTAGGAGGAGCTGGAAGGGGCTAGGAGGCGGAGACCTTGGTGTAGACATGAGGGCCAGGGGCTTCATCATGGCGGACTAGGATTTATGGCTGCTGCCCAAATAGTAGATAAGGGTCCTGCAGCTGCCCAGACCTGAAGGTCACTCTAAGGAGCTCCTGTTGCCTTATATGGTGGTAGCCTCCCCAGAGAAATGCCATCCCAAGGTTGGTGGGGGGGTGGAGGCTGATTATTTACTGCCTTTACCTCATGGGCCTTGGGTTGCCTAGGAAGGGAGTGTGCCAAGCTGTGGAGAGGGGAAGGCTGGACTAAGCTATGGGAAGGGACTCATTTCGCCAGCAAGGAGTATGGGTAGAATCCACTCAACCGTGAGTGGACAGAATTGCACAAGCTGAGGAACTGGAATCTTGGGGGGGGGGGTTCATTGGCACCCCATCAGTTGTGGATTTCTCTCCCCCCCCCACCCCAGACTCCTTGGGAGCTCTTCCTCAAGAGGTCCAGGCTGGGGGTCCGGGAGGCCCGGGCCTCTGCTCCCCTCCTGAAGTCTTCCCGACCCCCCCACACCCCGTTTCCTGCAGGTCACCCCGATGGCGCATACAGACGCACACCTGCCGCAGGTGGCGGGCGGGCGTGGCTGCGGGAGCGCCTGGGCGTCGGGGACGGCGGGAGTCCCCGCCCCGCGCGCGGGGGCGGCGCAGGGGGAGGGGGAGGGCCGCGGGGCGGTGCGGGACCGGGCTGGTGGCGGCGGGAGGCCGGCAGGGCGCAGGGAGTCCGCGGTGCAGGGACCGGGCCCGCGGAGCTCGGGGCGTCCGGGATGAGCCTCATCCGGAAAAGGGGCTTCTACAAGCTGGACGTCAACAAGACAGCCTGGGAGCTGCCCAAGACCTACCTGACCCCCACGCACGTGGGCAGCGGGGCCTACGGCGCCGTGTGGTGAGCCGGGGCGCGCGGGGGGCGCGGCGTCGGGGCCCCCTCGACGGCCACCCGCCCCGAGCTGGGCGGGGTGCCGGCGACAGGCTGGCAGCAGCCGGGCCACCCCCCCACAGTGGGGGTCACTCCCCCCCCGGGTGTCCCGGGGGCGGGGTGGGGGTTGCGTTAGGACTGGATTCGATTCTCCAGGCTGTAACTTTCAAAGGGAGCCCCAAGTTCATGGGGCCCCGACTCCCCTGGTTTCAGCGGAGGGCAGGGCGGCCCCCAAGGGGAAGGAACTTGCCACATCGCGGGGAGACTCTTGCCCGCCTTGGGCCTAGAGGGCCTCCCCTCTATTTCCGCCATCCCCCCTCTCTAGTGCCCCCCCCCCCATCTTGGCCTGGCCTGGCTCGGCTCGCCTAGCTGGGGTGCAGGGGTGCCGGGAGAAGCGATCGGGGCGGGACGGGCCCGGCCCGGGAGGAGGCCCCTGACCTGCCTGTGCCCCCCGCAGCTCCGCCATCGACAAGCGGTCGGGGGAGAAGGTGGCCATCAAGAAGCTGAGCCGGCCCTTCCAGTCCGAGATCTTCGCCCGACGCGCCTACCGCGAGCTGCTGCTGCTCAAACACATGCAGCACGAGAATGTAGGCGGGGCCTGGGGTCGCCGGGGTCGGGGGTCGCGGGGTGGCAGGAGCCGGAGGTGCCTCTCCCCCCCCCCCCCCCAGCCCCGGCTGTGGCTGAGCTGGAATCCAGGAGCCCGGCGGGGAGGCTGGAGAGGGGCCTGGCTGGGAACGGGGAGATCTGCTCCACCCATCGTTAGTAACGTGAGGGGGTGCCAGGACCCGCCCAGCTCACTTCCCCAGAAGGTGCCAAGTGAATTTTTGGCAGAATAGCTTTGTAAGGTGCCAGTGTAGTGTCTTATTGTTAGAAGGAAGTAGACCAAGAGGAACTTTGTTTTGTGTCTTAAGAATCCCTGCCCAGTTGGGACTAGACACCCACCTCCCCACCCCCACCCCCCTTTTGGAACTATACACCCCACAGGGTCAGTGTGGTTTCTACCTGAGGGCCCCATAAGACAACAATGAATACTTCCTGGTCAGTGGGAACAGAGCTGGGCACTGCTAACTGCATAAACTCAGTTTGTCATCCTCCAGTGACACCTGAGATACACCCCTAGTGCTCACATCACAGACGAGGAAACTGAGGCACGGAAAGGCTCCTCGATTATATGGTTATATGGTATCAGAGGGAGGATTTGAATGTAGGCAGTCAGGCATCAGGCCAGAGTACATGACAGCTGTCCTGTCTGATAGAAATAGCCAGAAAGGGGCTGGGAAGGTGGCTCAGTGGTAGAGTGCTTGCCTTGCATGCCTGAGGCCCTGGGTTCGATTCCTCAGCACCACATAAGCAAAAAGAAAAAAGCTGGAAGTGGCGCTGTGGCTCAAGTGGTAGAGTGCTGGCCTTGAGCTGAAGAGCTGAGGGACAGCGCCCAGGCCCAGAGTTCAGGCCCCACAACCAGACCCAAAAACAAAAAAAGAAAAAAAAAAAAGAAAAGAAATAGCCAGAAAGTGCTGGGAATGTGGCTTAGTGATAGAGTGCTTGCCTTGCATGCATGAAGCCCTGAGTTCCATTCCTCAGTACCACATAACCAGAAAAAGCCAGAAGTGGCACTGGGGCCTTGAGCTGAAGAGCCGAGGGACAGCGCCCAGGCCCAGAGTTCAGGGCCCGCGACCAGGAAAAAAAAAAAAAAAAAAAAAGCTCAGGGACAGTGTCCAGGCCCTAAGTTCATGCCCTGGGACTGGCAAAAGGAAGAAAGAAAGAAACAAGCAGAAAAACCAGTAGCCCAGCTCTGGGCCCCTAAACAAAAAGGCAGATATTTCAAATTGTGGTTTAAAGGTGTTGGACCCACATTAAGCTCCATCCTTTCCCCACAAATCTTTCCCTGAGGCCCCCAGCCACTGTGATCTTACCTATGGCTGTGAACCATCCCTGTGGTAGGCAGAGAATTGGGAGGGAGAGGGGGAGTAAGGAGGGAAGGGTAGCTGGAGACGCAAGGTCAAAGGTCAAGAGTGTGCTGTCTAGAAAGCCCCTTTCCCCCCCCCCCCCCCCCATTTTAAGCCTGTGGGCTTTGAATTGAGTGTAGATATGTGTTTGTCCTGTATGCAGGACTGTGGAGTCATGATCACCACCCATTGTCCTTTTAGCCTGACTGTTAGCCGCCACAGTGAATAGCAGGTTCCCTTGGAGCAGAGGGAACCTTGCCCCCATTTTACTGGGACCCAGCCTCCTGCTTGGGGGGGGGGGTTGGTGTATGACCAAAGGGTGGGCAGTTCTGGAGCGCTGGGCCTTGGAGGAGGAAGGGAGGGGCTGTAGTGGTGGTCCAGCCTTCCCGGTGACTCCTTCCTTTCCCCAGGTCATCGGACTCCTAGATGTCTTCACCCCAGCCTCCTCCCTGCGCAACTTCCACGACTTGTGAGTCAGGCTGCACTAGACTCTGGGCTTACTTGGTAGTAGGAATAAGTTGGGAGAGCTTCTGTCTCCTAGGTGTGTGTAGGGGGTGAGAGCTTCCGCCCTGGCAGTTCGTGGCTGTCAGGTAGGGCTACATCCCAACAGGAAAGGCAAGCAGGTAAGAGAAGGAATAGATCGAGCTGACCACAGGTGTCCGCCCTGCAGAGAGCTGTGTGCGCTGCTTTCTTCCTGGCTTTAACACCATGAGGACAACACCATGAGCCCTCAGTGTCCACTCCCCCTCCCCTGCCGTTTCCTGGGGTCTCAGGCCTTTTCCTAGCATGAGATCAGTTAGCCTTGGCTTTCTCTAGCTCAAGAAGCATTTGACAGCTCACACAGAACGAGATGTTCGATCTGCGAAGTGTCACTCTTTGCTGGGACAGTGATGGGACAAAGTTGGAATTTGGACAGTGTTGAATTTTCAGAGTGCAAGCAGAGGCCAGCCCCAAACTTCAGATCAAGACTCAATTCCATAGGTGGCCTTGAGTCTGCAGAGATTCTGAATGTGGTGGTGATGTGGTAGGGCCTGGTTTTGGAGATGTACTTGGCCAGCAGCAAGAAAGGAGCGGAAGCCTTTGGGGAGGAGAGACAGCAGGGAGTCCGGGGTTTGGACCCTAGACTTTGATCTACAGTGGAGGGGGTGGGACTTGTACCTGAGGCAGGTGCCAATAGAATCTAATTCTCTTTGTTGGGATATGGTGGTAGAGGGAGGTGGTGTGGGTAGGGAGGGCCCTGGCTCTTGCTTGGAATACAGAGTGGAGGAAGAACAGCACTTGGAGGAAAGATTGTGAACTTTACTTTTACCTTTTTTGTTGTTGTTGATCATGAGGCCTGAACTTTGGGTCTGGGCTCTGTGCCTCAGCTCTTCAGCTCAAGGCTAGCACTCTACCACTTGAGCTACAGCGCCACTTCTGGCTTTGTCTGCTTATGTGATGCTGAGGAATCGAACCCAGGGCCTCATGCATGCAAGGCAAGCATTCTACCACTGAGCCACCTTCCCAGCCCTAGTTTTACATCTTTTTTTTTTTTTTTTGTCGGCCGTGGGGCTTGAACTCTGGGCCTGGGCACTGTCCCTCAGCTCTTCAGCTCAAGGCGAGCGCTCTACCACTTGAGCTACAGCACCACTTCCGGTTTTCTGGTGGTTTATTGGAGATAGGAGTCTCACGGTCTCTCCTGCCAGGGCTGGCTTTGAACCGCGATCCTCAGATCTCAGCCTCCTGAGTAGCTAGGATTACAGGCGTGAGCCACCAGCGCCTGGCTAGCTTTACTTCTTATAGAGGCTGTGAAATCAGCAATTGCAGATAAACATAGGCCTCCGGAGAGGAAGGCAGGGCTGGAGATGTGGATGTGGATTATGGGTGATAGTTGAGACCCGGGAACAGATTATTGTAAAACGTTGACAGATGATGTTGATTCAAATACTCATATTAGAGAGAAGACACAAGAGGAGAAGGAAAGCTGGGCATTGGTGGCTCCTGGTTACTATTCTAGCTATGAATGAAATTAAATCAGAAGGATCGCAATCTGAGACCAATCTAGGCAGAAAAGTCCACAGACCTTCATCTCGATAGAAGAAGCTGGGCATGGTGGCACACCCCTGCCATTCCAGCAAGGAGGGCAGATTACAGTCTAGATGCCCATCCAGACCTGAAGCAAAACCCTATCTCAGTACATGAGGCTGCAGGCATGGCTTAATAGTAGAGCACCTGCTTAGTAAGTGCACAGCCTTGAGTTCAAGCCCTAGTACCATCAAAAAATTAACAAAAGAGGGTGAAGAGGTGAAAACTGATAGCCTGATGAGAGAGAGAAGAGACCCAGTAGAGAATTTTGAGAGAGTATTGGGGTGGCTCACGCCTGTAATCCTAGCTACTCAGGAGGCCGAGATCTGAAAATCATGGTTCAAATCCAGCCGGGGGAAGAAAGTCCGTGAGACTTATCTCCAACTAACTAGCAAAAAGCCAGAAGTAGAGATATGACTCAACTGGTAGAGCATCAGTCTTGAGCTCAAAAAGCCAAGTCAGAGCTTGTATAAAAAAAAAATCAGAACCATGGAGACAATCTCTACCATATGCTTTTATCAACAGGACTCCTTTTATAACCAATCGTGTTTTGCTCTCAACTTCGCAGTTACTCCCTTGAGTAACAGTTACCTGCTGCTACCCTCGGGCCCCTGCCCCTGTTTTGCAGCCCGGTGACAGGGCACAGTAGCCCCTCCACCTTCTTCCATCCTGAAAATTGTTCTGTGTCACCTTCCTGGTAAAGCAGACATCTTGTTCGTTGGTAGAGCCTGACCCCCAGATCACAGCTGTGGATTGTTTGTCCAGGGTCATGGAAGAGGGTGGGGAGAGGGCACCTTTGAAGAGCAAGAACGCAGCTCCCTTTGGTTTTCTGAGCATGCTTCATGTCAGTGTTTCCCCTCGGCTCTGCCGGTCCTGGAGCCTGGCTTCTCTGGGAGACCCTGGGAACCTGGGTGTTGTAGGCCTGGGTAGGGCTGGGTTTCTGCTCATTTCTTGCCCAGGTCATTTCGAACGTCCACGTTCTACCTCCCCCTCCATCAAGCTCCACCTCAGATCCAGGCTTGGGGGTGGGGGCCACTGGGGATGGGGCCACAAAGCTGTGTTGCCTTCCAGCTACCTGGTGATGCCCTTCATGCAGACCGACCTACAGAAAATCATGGGCATGGAGTTCAGTGAGGAGAAGGTCCAGTACTTGGTGTATCAGATGCTCAAAGGTCTTAAGGTGGGTGGGGGCTGGAGGGTGGCAGAGCGGGAACCGTGGTGTCCAGACTGCAATGGCATGATGGGGTGGAGGCGGGGTTTCTGAGCAAGTCTGCCGTGCCTGGAGCGGAATCCGGGCGGTGGATATTCACACCATCTCCTTCTCTCCCTCGCAGTACATCCACTCCGCTGGTGTCGTCCACAGGGTGAGTTCGGGGCCCCAGCCCACCCTGGGAGGTCCGGACAGGTAGCAGTTCTCAGAGCCAGCCTTGGCCCTGAAAGGCCCCCTGGGTTCGGGGAACTTGGTGGGAAACCACTGTGAGCAAGATGAACCCTGGGCTGGTATTTCAGGATCCAAGGAGAGAAACGTCTGGAGTTCAGTGGGGGCCCCACAGGACACCCAGCTCAACTCCTCCTTGTTTATTTATTTTTGTGCCTCGGACTTGAACTCAGGGCCTAGGCACTGTCCCTGAGCTTTTTTTTTTTTCTTCAAAGCTAGTTCTCTACCACTTGAACCACAGTTTTACTTCTGGCTTTTTGATGGTTGATTAGAGATAAAGTGTCAAGGACTTTCTTGCCTATGCTAGCTTAGAATTGAGATCCTCAGGGGCTGGGAAGGTGGCTCAGTGGTAGGGTCTTTGCCTTGCATGCATGAGGCCCTGGGTTTGATTCCTCAGCACCACATAATCAGAAAAAAAAAAAGCTGGAAGTGGCGCTGTGGCTCAAGTGGTAGAGCGCTAGCCTTGAGCTGAAGAGCTGAGGGACAGCGCCCAGGCCCAGAGTTCAGGCCCTAGGACCGACCAAAAACAAACAAAAAAAAGAATTGAGATCCTCAGGTCTCAGCTCCCTGGGTAGCTAGGATTACAGGTGTGAGCCACCAGCACTTGGCCAACTCTTATTTTACATGTGAGGAACCTGGAGGCCAGAGAAGAGAAGGAGCCAGAGGTCCTGCACAGATCTAGGTTGAGGCAGAAGCGGGAGAAGCCCCGTCTCCGCCTCTCAGCACAGTGCTGGCTCTCTCCCCTTTCTCCCAGGACCTGAAACCCGGCAACCTGGCTGTGAATGAAGACTGTGAGCTGAAGGTGAGTGGACTGTGGGTGGGCCAGCTTGGGTGGGATGCATCCCCTCCCACAGGAGCCCCTTCCCTCAGCGAGCTGTCTCCCTGTGTCCCATGAGCCATAGATCCTGGATTTTGGGCTGGCACGACATGCGGATGCTGAGATGACGGGTTACGTGGTGACTCGCTGGTACCGGGCACCCGAGGTGATCCTGAGCTGGATGCACTATAACCAGACAGGTCAGTGCCCAGCTGCCTGGACTAGCTGCTTCCCTGATGCTGTCCCGGTACTCCGAGTGTCTAGTGGGTCAGGTGACAGCCCCTCCTCTCTCTGCAGTGGACATCTGGTCGGTGGGCTGCATCATGGCCGAGATGCTGACAGGAAAAACTCTGTTTAAGGGGAAAGATTGTATCCTTTGCTGGACAGGCCAGGCCCATCCAACCCATCTGGAGAGAAACTCCAGACGTTTCTCTCCTTGGATCCCTTGACCCATCCAACCCACACTTTGTCTAAATAACTCTTTTGTTCTTGTTGTTGTTGTTATTGGTTGTGGGGCTTGAACTCTGGGCCTGGGCACTGGCCCTGTGCTCTTCAGCTCAAGGTAAGTGCTCTACTACTTGAGCCACAGCACCACTTCCTATTTTCTGGTGGTTAACTGGAGATAAGAGTTGGGCTGGGAAGGTGGCTCAGGGCTGGGAGGTGGCTCAGTGGTAGAGTGTTTACCTTGCATGCATAAGAGCCTGGGTTCAATTCCTCAGCACCATATAGGCAGAAAATGACAGAAGTGGCACTGTGGCTTAAGTGGTAGAGTGCTAGCCTTGAGCTGAAGAGCTGAGGGACAGCACCCAGGCCCAGAGTTCAAGCCCCATGACCGGCAAAAAAAAAAAAAAAAAAAGATTCTCACAGACTTTCCTATCTGGGCTGGCTTCGAACCGTGATCCTCAGATCTCAGCCTCCTAAGTAGCTAAGATTTCAGGCATGAGCCAATGGTGCATGGCTCTGTGGAATGATTTTTTTTGTTGTTTGGTTATGGAGCTTGAACTCTGGGCCTGGGCACTGCCCCTCAGCAATTCAGCTCTTCAGCTAAAGGCGAGCACTCTACCACCTGAGCCACAGCACCACTTCCAGTTTTCTGGTGGTTTAGTAGAAATAAGAGTCTCACAGACTTTCCTGCCTGGGCTGGCTTTGAACTGCGATCCTCAGATCTCAGCCTCCTGAGTAGCTAGGATTACAGGCGTGAGCCACCGGCGCCCAGCCTTCTGTAGAATAATTTTAGTGCAGGGTACTAAGCTGATGGAGGGCTCCCATGAAGGGAACCCTCACACTTTGGGCCTGTGTGCACAAATGCTTGAATGTGCTGTGCAGATGTTTGGCGAGTAGACACTGGCTCTCCCCACTCAGCTCAGTGTGAGGATGGAGAGAAGAGGAAACGGATGAGGATGGCCAGGTGGGAGGAGGGCATGTCTCAGCACATTCACCTGTCAGCCAGGCCCCTTCTGTGCTGCTCTGGTCAGGTGGGAAGTCCTGCAGAGCCCGGAGTCTCTCTCCTGAGACCAGACTGTGGCTGGGTGGGCGTGGAAGCTGTGGACAGTAGACTCAGGCTGCGAGGCACCTTAACCAGCTGCCAAGACCTGGACCAGCTCACCCAGATCCTGAAAGTGACCGGGGTGCCAGGCGCAGAGTTTGTACAGAAACTGAAGGACAAAGCGGTAGGTCATACCTAGGCCTGGGCTGTCCTGGGCTATGCTGTTCAACCTGGGACAAGGTGGGCCTCTGGGAAGGACAAACCACCTGTGCCTGCCTTTAGGCCAGAGGGAGTCCCTCCGCTGCTAGGCAGGGGCTCCACCCTTGTCTTACTTTGAACTCAGGCCAGCTTTATACTGGGAGACCAGCCCTGAGGGCTTCACTACTGTCTGTCTTCCAGGCCAAATCCTACATCCAGTCCCTGCCCCAGACTCCCAAGAAGGATTTCAGGCAGCTCTTCCCACGCGCCAGCCCCCAGGGTGAGTCTTGGAGCCTGGTCCCCTGCAGGTCTGTTCCCATGGCCCCAGCGAGGGCTTCCTGGGCCTGTGCTTCGAGGCTCACGCTTGTGCACTTGTAGCTGTCGACCTGCTGGAGAAGATACTGGAGCTGGACGTGGACAAGCGCCTGACAGCCTCGCAGGCTCTTGCCCACCCCTTCTTCGAACCCTTCCGGGACCCTGAGGAGGAGACCGAGGCCCAGCAACCATTCGATGATTCCTTAGAACACGAGAAACTCACAGTGGACGAATGGAAGCGTGAGTGCCCCAGCCTGTAGCCCCCCTGCTTGGGGCCCTTGGCCCCCCGACCCCGGCCCCTCCTCCCTGAGAGGATATGCTTCCTGGTTGTTTTTCTCCTTGAACTGATTTCCTGGGGGTGATGGGCCCTCAGCACCCCATTACTTACCTTAAGCCTCCCCCCTGTCTGCAGAGCACATCTATAAGGAGGTGGTGAATTTCAGCCCCATTGCCCGCAAGGACTCGCGCCGGCGGAGCGGCATGAAGCTACAGTGACCCCAGCCTCTGGCCTCCCACTGGCCTGGGGCTGCATGCCAGCCTGGCACTGCCCCCCTCTTCTACCCTCCCTCCCGTTCACTGCAGCTCTTCCTATAGGAGGAGTCCTTGGATCACCAGTGTTGTGTCTGCCTGTGCTGTGGTGGGACTATGAACAGCTGGGCTGAGCCAGGGCCAGAGTCTATGGCTGTTTCCTAGGGCAGCCATGATACATAACCAGACACTTCCCTTGACTCTTTGTAGCTCTTGCTGGCTCTGAGCCATACCTGTAATTACAGCCCTTGGGAGACAGGAGAATCACAAGTTCAAGGCCAGATTGGACTAAAGAGAAGCAAATACCATATCAGCTATTGGACTTAGGGCCCATCCAGTATATGCCATCCCCGTCCCTACTAACTACAGCTACACAGACTATTTCCAAATCAAGTCACATTCTGACGTTCCAGGAGCCCATGAATTTGGGGAGGGGACATTATTCAGCCCACTCGAGATGGCCGTGAGGGAGGATGTCTTCTGGCCCTGGATTCAGGTCTGTGTTCTCTCCCAGTTGAATGCATCTGGCCGCTCAATCCAGGTGTGACACAGCTGCTTATTTTGAGAGAGCACTAAGCTATCAAGATGTGAAAGCCCACAGACAGGTCAGCTGGGAGCAACGGAAGTGGCTTTTGTGTGGCTTTTTTTTTCTTTGTCAGTCATGGGCAATGAACCCAGGGCCTGGGCATTGTCCCTGAGCTGCTTTTATTCAAGGCTAGCACTCTGCCACTTTGAGCCACAGCACTACTTCTGATTTTCTAGTAGTTAATTGGAGATAACAGTCTCATGGACTTCCCTGCCCGGGCTGTGATCCTCAGATCTCAGCCTCCTGAGTAGCTAGGATTACAGGTGTGAGCCACCAGTACCCGGCCAGCTTCCGTGTCTTTTTGACATACTGTTCTCTTCCTTTGGGGAGATGGTGTCTCTAAGGAGCTTCAACCTGGCAGTGGCCGGGATTCTTCCATTTGCTTTGGTAGAACAAATCCTCGGGCGCAGGCCTGGGCTTCCCACCCTGGGCATGATGGGTCTCAGACATCCCCATGCACCAGGGACCTGGACAGAATGAAGAGTCCTGGGCCCTGAGGATTCTGACTGTCCAGTCCAGAGTTGAGACCTGGGAACAAGGACCGTCTACCCTAACCCCTCACCTGGCCCCTGCCTGGTGACGTAGGGGAACATGGAGCTGTCTTCTGGACGGCTTGGTTCATCCGGGGACCTAGTGAGAAGCCTGTGGTCAGGACTGAAGGGCTCCGGACACCTCCACTCCCAGAAGATGCTGAAACCAGGCTGGCGGAACTCTGTGGCCAGGTAATGGTGGACGTGTGGCTCTGTGCACTTGTGAGAATCTGGAACAACACAAAGAGCCAGCCCTCAAACTGGGGACTTGAGGCAGAAATATTTCGCTATGGGGTCATCAGTTGTAATCCATGTACTGCACTCACGAGGATGGGTGTTTCAGGGGAAATGGGATACATGGGAACTCTACTTTCTGAAGAATAAAGTCTCTGAAAACAATAGAATCTCTGTGGTCCCAGAGTGATGGGTAGGAAGTATAGGAGGCTGGACTTGAACCCACACTCAGCTACTATACTAGAAGCCCTTAACCAACCCTGGATCCCATACTCCTTATGCTAACATGGTTGGCCATCCGGCTCCAGTTCTGGGAGCTTACATTGACAAAGGCTCTGACAAATCCTGCAGAAAAGAGCTCTATATGTTTTAATACAGAATGTTTCTCCCCCCCTCACCCCAATAGTGCTACACTTAGCTCTCCCTTCCCAGGACAGCCAGTGCACAGGCCAGAGCAGGCTGGGAGCTTGGGCTGGCCTCAGTGCTCCTGCCCGGCAGGCTCTGCATTCTTCTCCAGTCAGAAAAATCCTCCTCACCTTTCAAGATGGCATCGGGCTGGCTGTAGTGGTGCATACTGGTAATCCCAGAGTGGAAGAAGGGGCAGAAGGATCAGCCCCTCTCAGAGAACAGGGGACTTCTTCCATCGGCCTGCCAGGCTGAGGCGGGAGGGGGTGTAGCTTTTCGTGTGTGAGGTTTGTCCTCCACCCCCATTACCCTACTCGGGGCCCCTGCTGGGTGAGGGAATGAATGAACAAGTGATGTGTCAGGGTCCTGTGGTCATACCCTAGTCCAAGCAGATCCGCACGCTATTGAAGGATGGAGAATTGGGTGGCCCTGCCTCAGAAAAATCTTCCCGAGATTCCCAGTTTCCCTCCAGTTCCCCCCCCCTTCTTCTCCCAGTCCCGTCCCCCCCCCCCCCCCCCCCCCCGTCCCAGTGGACAGGTGCTGCCTGAAGGGGCTCCTGGCTGTGGGCCTCACACGGAGGGCGGAGTCTGGCCGGGCTGGCCTTGGCTTCCTGAACGGCTGGTGGCGGCCTTGGGTAGATGGGTCCCGCCGTGTCCAGGCAGGGCCTCACGGAGATAAGGAGGGCGGACCTGGAGTCCGGGAGCCGCCTTTAACCGCGCGGGTGCCCTGGGCTCCCTCCCGCAGTGGGCTGGGGCTGTGCGGGGCGGGGCAGGCGGGCCGGGCCCGGGCCGCACCTGGGAGGAGGCGGGCGTCCCACCAAGCCCCGCCCCGCCAAGCCCCGCCCGCCCTGCAGGTGGGCGTGACCACGCCCACTTCCGCCCCGCGCGGCGGGGGCGGGGGAGAGGGGGCGGGGGAGAGGGGGCGGGGTGGAGCCGAGCTCTCCCTGGGGAGCGACGCAGCCGCCTGCGCTCCTCCCCGACGCTGGGGAAGCCATGCCCGCCCCTTCCTCTGCTCTGCAGCGAGCCCGGGCTCCCCAGGGCCCGCCGTGCCCGGGGAAAAGGCCTTGCGACCAGGGTGTTCAAGGGGAAGCCGAGGCCCAGGCCGCGCACGGAGCTGAACGTCCTGGCGTTGTCACCCAGCTGGCCTGGTCTCTGCCCCGATGAGCAGCTGCCCCCCCACGCTGGGCCAGGCCGTCCCCCGAGCGTCCGCGGGGCCGGGGGACCCCTCTCAGGCATCTCTTCTCCACGTCGTATTTCTCAGTCGCACAGATCAAAACAGGGTTGCAAAGGAAGTCGGTGATATTGCTACACGCAGTGGTCAAGGTTTGCAAGCTGGGTGACGTCATCCACAGGCCTCTGGCTGGGAAAGAGCTCTGCTGGTTTAGGTCCTAGGCCTAAACTCCAGGGGTTCCGCACAGCCAAGAGCCCCCCAACACTGTAGAACAGATAAATAGCCACTAATGGTGAAGGGTAGAAAGAACAGGTTTATTAGGCAGGCCTGGACACAACTGCTGAAGAAAGCAAAGCAAGCTCCACTTCTGCCATCTTTAAGGTATAGATGTGAACTTCAGGTTTAAATAGACAAAAGAACTGCGGGGAGGAGAGGGAGGTATGCGAAATGATTACACAGTCCAAGTATAGCCTGGTTGGTCATTAGAGGGGTTCTGGAGTGGTAACTGTCATCAAACCAGTTGAAAGGAGCAATTTTGGTCAGGACATCTAAGTCGTTGTTTGGTGGGTGGTCTGTCCTGAGGGGGTCTGTCCTTCAGTACTGAAGCTTGAATTCAGAGCTTTGTGCTGCCTAAGTGATACTCTTGTCATCTTGTCACTGAGCCATACCTCAGCCCCCATTTTTTTTTTTTTGCCAGTCCAGGGACTTGAACTCAGAACCTGGACACTGTCCCTGAGCTTCTTTTGCTCAAGGCTAGCACTCTACCACTTGAGCCACAGCGCCATTTCTGGTGTTTTCTGTTATGTGGTAGTGAGGACTCGAACCTAGGGCTTCATATGTGCCAGGCAGACACCCTACCACTAACCCACATTCCCAGCCCTGTCAGTTTCTTTTCCTAGGGGCCGTTTTTCTACATCCCTCTTGGTAAATATATGATCATGAGTCCTATCCTTCCTGGATTGCAGAGTGAAGGCACAGGACCTGCTAAGAGAATGACTGAGCAAAGGCAGATGCAAAACGCAGACAGGAATGCAAGCTCTTCTACTTTTAGTTCATTTGTGGGCTCCAGTAAAGAGTTAATGCTTTTCAACAGAAGCAGTTTAAGTACTTGCTCCACACCGCTGAGCTTCACCCTCATATTCTGGTCATATTCTTGTCATTATTCCCTAAAGAATAACAGCCTAACAACTATTTAATAGCATTTACATACCATTAGGTCTTATAAGGAATGTAGAGATGAGGCTGTGTGGAGGTCATATGCAAATGCTATCCCATTTTATACAAGGACTTTGGGCATTGGAGGGTTTGGTGTAGGCAGGGGTCCAGGAACCAATCCCACTCAGATACTGAGAATGACTGTATGATTCCTAAGGCCATAAATTGAGATCTAAGCTGCATCTCATAACATTTGATATGTGATACACTATTGTTTAGTATTAGGCATCCTTTCCAAATCTTTATTATGATGTCTTCTGGAGCCTATAAATTATTTATACTCATTTTATTTTACATTTCTGAGCACTTGAGATTTAAAATGTGTCCTACTGTTATTCATTTCAAATTGTACAGTGTCAGAAAACATGACATGTAGTTAAGGATTTTTTTTTTTTTTTCAAATAGACTCTTCTTTTAAGGAGTAGTTTTAGATTCACAGAAAAATTGAGCAGAAAGTACTGGGGATTCCCATAGTCTCTTCCCCCAACTCACACTTTCCTGTCTTGTTAATACCTTGCATTAATGTGGCATACTTATAGCATATGAATCTATGTTGATATGCTATTATTAACTGAAGCTTGTAATTTGCATTATGATTCACTCTGTGTTGTACAGCTCTATTGGTTTTGACAGATGCTAATGTCATGTATCCATCACTAGAGTATCATTAAAAAAAAAAATCTATAAGCCTATTTAGGAAGCTGAGATCTGAGATCTCAACTAGCCTAGGCAGGAAAGTCTGGAGACTGTATCTCTGATTAAGCAATAAAGCTGGAAGTGAAGATATGGCTCAAGTGATAGAGAGGTGGCCTTAAACAAAAGAACTTTAAGGACAATGCCTAGGCCCTGAGCTCAAGGACTGGCATGCACCCTTGTGGCACGTACCCATGCCTACACACACACACACACACACACACACACACACACACACACACACACACACAAATCTGTGTTCTGCCTCATCATTGCTGCTTTACCCTGTACCTCAAACTTTGGCTATCATTGATCTTCCTTACTATCTCTCTCTAATTTTGCCTTTTCTAGGATGGCATAGAATTGGAAATATCTAGTATATAAACTTTTCAGATTTTTTCTTCCATCTAGCATTAAGCATTTAGCATTCCTACAAGTTTTTGTTTTTTTTTTTTTGGGTCCGGTCGTGGGGCCTGAACTCTGGGTCTAGGCGCTGTCCCTCAGCTCTTCAGCTCAAGGCTAGCGCTCTACCACTTGAGCCACAGCGCCACTTCCGGCTTTTTTCTTTTTGCTTATGTGGTGCTGGGGAATTGAACCCAGGGCCTCATGCATGCAAAGCGAGCACTCTACCACTGAGCCACCTCCCCAGCCCCTTTTTTTTTGTAGCTTGATAACATTTATTTTCAGCACAGAATCCACTGTACAGATTCAATTTGTTTATTCATCTATGGAAAGACATCTTCCTTCATTCAATTTCAGGGTAATTATGAATACAACTTCTATAAATATTTATTTGCAGGTTTTTTTTAACTTTTGTTTGTTAGAGACAGGGTTTTAATAGGTAAGAAGTAGAGGTACATACTACCACACCT